ACTAGGTAATCACCTGAGTTATTTAACCAAAACTACAGAAAATTTTATCGCAATCCGTCAAAATAATGAATCCTATTGTAGTTTCAGTATATGAAACATGTATATATCTCAGGGCATGTTTCTGTATTTTGATAGTTTATACTCTAATGCTTGTGTAAAATAACATTTTGAAAATGGGAGTTTAACTGCATTATGTTAGCATTTAAAACTATTTTAAATGGATGTCTTAAGCTAGAAAAACACCAATCCAATGCCAAGAATCTATCATTACAGAGAATAAAATAAAGATACATAGTTCTTATCAAGCTTTTTTCCTTCCTGAAAGTAAAGAGTAATGCCATTGTGGGAACTTTACACGCACTAGAAAGCAGTTACATCTGTCTTTAGAAATCTTATATACTATAGATACATTAGAATGCTAATCTATATTAATCTTATATTCTGTGCTCCTAATATTTTGTTTGATTGGGACAACATGTATCACAATGCAATATGGACCAAAGCCCTAGAAAATCTTAATGTGGTCTTTCAGAAGAGAATTAAAAGCTGATAAAACCAAAGCTGACCAGGTACAAATAAGAAACAAATGCAAATATCACAGTGGGGCGATAACATCCACCATCTCTCCACATTTCCATTAAGGAATTACCTCCACATGCACTATCTTTCATTGTCAGGATTATACCTACTATCTTATGAAATAAAGTTAAAACACATGCATAAGAGGTCCATCCATAATTCTAAGAAATCTCTGAAAAACTGAACTAGAATGTTAATACAAACAAAAAAGGAAATAACCTAGATGGATTACAATTACTATTAATGACTCAAAAGGCCATAAAATCCTTTGATGGGCAAGAAAATATGCCTTGAGGCATATTGCATTTTGGGAAAACAGGTTATTTTAGTTGAATATATGTTAATGAATTGCTTCCTCATGTTTTATATAATTCTTAGAAAAAGTTCAAATTAGGTCCCCAATACGATGTTTTAATTATGAGAAGCAATCTTTCGAAACTCATACAAGCCATCACACTTGTTTGGAAACAAATGACTTTTCAAGATGGAGAAGTATTACTATCAATCACCAACAAGTTAATTCTACATAATAAGGCAGGTTTGGATGCAAACTGATCCATTGTGGAATGCTGTATCTAAAATTGATTACAACAGCACTCAAAATGAATGCAGTCCTCCAAACCACTTCTTTGCTCAGAAACATTAATCTCAATTAGAAAGAGAGCTTCATAATGGTAATGCTTGGGAAAAAAAAAATTAAAATAAATCAGGTTTTATAAGACACAACAATTAATCAGTTTTCAGACTAAGAAGGTTTTTCAGTTTTGTTTTTTTTTTTTTTAAGCACAAAATTTCCATCAGGTCTGTTAAAACAGCTGATATTTCCAAAGACAAGTTGTAAATGTATTCTAAAATAAGCTTACATAAAATAATTTTAAACTAAAAATTAGTTGTTGAAACTTTCAAATAACGTATTATTGTGGTACCTTTTCAATAGACTTTACTCCGAATGCATGTAGTCAATTTTTCTACGGGCTATCATTCCACTTTATAAGGCAATTATGAACACAACACTAACTTCAACTGGAAATTCAAAGGAATATGTAATTGGTTATGGACCATAGTAAACGTTTGGTGGCAAACTATTATATTCTTTGCTCATATTCTCACCCTAAGTAAAGAAAGTATGTCCTCAAAGTCAAAATGGACAGTTGACTATCAAACGAAACACTTAGATGAGCAATGTGTAATTCAACATGCTTAACAGGTTTCTACAGCACAGCTTCAAGAAAAGGGCAGACAGCTCATCACAGCTGCTGAATACACTGATTCGAATAAATATAAAACTTGGATGATATTCAGCCACCATCCAGAAATCAAATTTTTACGGGGTAAAATAAAGTTTAATAAAAAGGAGGCACATGCATTTATTTAAACAATCAATATTAATAAACTAATAAACTTGGCTTTGTTGGGTTTTTCTATCAGACTATGACCATGCTCTGAACTTATTCCCTAGTATTCCTATAGGTAGAATAAACTTCAGCATTTCCAAACACACATTTGCAGCTATTGCAAAAACACCATTTTTTGTACACCCAGCCTAATGGTGATTCAGTATTTCTGACAGGTCACTCTACTCACAATGATAGCCACGCACTCCTTCCTGCTTTCTTATTTGCTTGACTCTTTACAAAGAGAATAATTACTCTTGGCTCCCAGAAGCAAAGCTAAGAAAGAGTAGCTTGAACTTCCTAACTGGATCATTATTGTTTAGCTAGGTTTCCTTTCTGAATAAGTTTAAAAGTTTTCACTCTCTTTAAGAGCTTTCTTCTATTCAAAGATAAGCATCCTTATCTTTCTTTGTCTTCACCCTAATAAGGCAGGCTCCTTTTCTAACCAAAAGACTGATGACACGCCTACAGAATCACAGTAAGAAAAACCTCAATAATTTACCTAAAACATCTTTCTAGAAAATAAACACAGCCATGCAAAATAATCCCATTTGGAGGAATAACTAGTCACAATTCTATAAATCTACCTGCTTTATTTCCAATAATCAAGTAATCCTCATTAGAGTGCATAGGTTGCTAACTTAAAGCTATTGGCACAGGGGGTTCATATAGTTTTCCAAACATATATAAACATTAGCATGGTGATTAGTTTAACTACATTTTTCATAAAAACTGTACAGTGCATGTAAAAATGTGTATTTGATTTGAACTACTTTTTCTAACTATATATTCTTTTCTAAGTTATTTAACATAAGACATATTTGTTTACTATTACAAAAAATCTTTAAGAGGAATAAAAAAATCATGTAAGAAAAACAGAGCGAGATTATTAAGGGAAATGCAACAGGAAAAGATAACAAAATCCTGAAATACACAATAGAATAACTAAACTCATTATAAACGCCTATCTTTGAAGAATTTAGGAATAATTTGTGAATGCCATGACATTTTAAAGTGGGATTAGCAAGTCTTATTACTGAACTAACCTCTCACTCTTAGATCAAGAATTAAATATTTGCTCTGCATTTAGAATTAAAAATCGAAATTTTCAGGGCTCATACAAGAATTTCATATATTAAGATATACGTGCTCGAAGTTCTAGATAATTAAAAGTGTATTAAGGAATGCACAAAGCAAGATTGTTGAATTTATAAAATCTTGTGTTTTAATTGAAATATTAAAATAGATAATGAATTATTATCACACAGTTGCTCTTAATTCTAAAGTCAGTCTGTTCTCAATATATTAATACCCTAAAGACTACAAATACTTCTCCAAGTAGGCAACGGGGAAAAAGGGATATGCATCATTATTTTAAACAAATTCACTAAGGGAGTCAAATCACCAAATTCTGTTCAGTTGCAATATCATCTTTGGGGATACTCTTCCAAGCTTTCCAGAGATGCCATATCCACCTTTTTTCTTTTGACAAGAGAAGGGAAAGGTAATGCCTCAACATATTTCTATTTCCAGTGAAAAGACCACCCAGTGAATTCTGCCAGAGTCTACCAATGTTTGACAAAATACATTGTCAGAAGATAAGAAATAGAGCATGATGAAGAGACAGTCCTGTTCTCGGGCATCCCAGCCGTTTGGGACCCTGTAAAAAGTGTAGGACAGCTCTCAGCCTTTCATTTCCATTGCACCTCCTCACACATACCTGGAAACTTTTCTCTACCTCCAAATTACAATGACTTCGGAAAACACACGTATGTAATGTATTACACGGTACAAGTACTTGTTATCCTCCCTCCACAATAAAAATTAACAAGTTACCACTCCAGCTACCTTAAAGGTGAGGCAGTAAGAATGGAATCCAAGCTGCATAGTAAGATGCTCAGCAAAGATCAATCAGACACAACCCGCCTCAACCTAAAATATGTGAAGCTCTTTGTAATCGGTTGTAAAACACAAGAGGGACTTAGAATCTCAGTTGCAGGCTCATAAATTCGTAATTTTTGAAACGCCCAGCTCAGGATATTTTGTGTGTGTTTCCAGCCCCATCCAGAGTTTCCCGATCAAGTTTCAGCCGTGATCCACCACTCCCCACGTTACCCCTCGCCCCTCACTCTCCCTCCTTCACTCCTTTCCAACTTGGCTCCCTGGTCGCTGCAGAAGCCTTCTCTCCCCTGCCTGCCCCGGAAAGCGGTGACATCCCGGGGCTTTCCGCTCGCTGGAAGCCCCACAGGATCCTGTCAAGACGCCCCCGCAGAGGACGCGGGGCCCCG